CCGGTCACGCGGATAGCTCTCGCAAGCGAATCGTTGGACGGGTGCCTAATGTTGACGTGGAGCTGCATGACTGCGGACCGAAGTGTCCGCTCCTCCGCGGCCGTGGGCGCTGGCTCCTGCGCGGCTGCAGCGGCTGGAACCGTCCTTCTGCTTGCCCTTCTCGTCGTCGATGTAGGGTGAGCTTCTCGAACAGGTCGTCGGTTCGGACGTCGCAGCTGCTCGGCGAGCACCTTCGCGAGCGTGTCCGTGTAGTTATCGCTGCGCTTGGCGTCCTTACCGCGGGCTTCCGCGTGAGGATGTCCCCCGCTGCAGAAGCGCCTGAGCGAGTCGTCGAACCCGAAGTGGTCGGTGATGATCCGCCACGGCTTCTTAATGTGGATCCCCTTCTTCGTCCTGAGATCGAACGCGCAGCCATCGAAGTCCACGATGCGCGGAAGCTGCTCCTTCAGCTTCTTGGCGGTCGCGTTCTTGGTGGGGTCCCATCCGTCGCAATACCTCGGCCACTCGAATGAGACGGCGAGCTGAGCGCCGAACTCCTTGCGCAGCCGAGACATCGACTGCAGGAACAGGCCGATCATCCGCTGCGACTTCGCCCGATCCTTCTTGAGCTTGGGCAGCTTGCTCGGGTCGATCTTGACGACGAACCGTTGTAGTGAAGTCCACGGCTGGCAAGGAAATGCCGCGTGAACTCGTGCGCTCTTGCCTGAGGCAAGGTTCTTCCTGATCCGGCCCTCCAGCTTCTGGACCACGAACTGCTTGGAGAGGTCGAGACCTGGAAGGCCACGCCTGACAGCAGCTCCTCCCTTCTTCCTCCAGGTCGCGCTGAGCTTGCTGTCCGGGTTGCAGCACCACTCGTAGAGCACGGTGCTGGTTGGTGTGGGCGTCGGGCTGGGTCGGGTCGTGGACTTGGCCAGGTCGGATGTTAGAGCCTGGCCGATCCTGTGCGGCTGGATGCCGCTCTTGCTGGTGACGAAGGCTGACCGTTTGCCCGCGATCAGCTGCGGCTTCGTCCCCTTCTTGAGCGTCCTCACGCGTAACTGCTCCTCCTCCACGATGTTGACCTCGGGTCCGTGGCAGTCGCTGGCGATGACGTCCTGGTCGTAACTCAGGGTCACGGGCGTGCCGAAGACGCAGTCCGAGCAGAAACCCTCATGACTGCAGGCCTCGAAGGTCGTCTCGCCGCAGGCGATGCAGTCCTGAAGGGGGTCGGTAGCGCACGTCGTGGGGTAGGTAACCTCCGGCAGCATAGCAAGCGTGAGGATAGGAGCTGGTGCTGCGGTAGAACAGCAAACCAAGGCTGAGGCGACGGCCGAAAGCAGCCGTGATCCCCTCGGTCGTCGAGGCTGGAGCCGCCTCGGGACGTTCAGCTCCTTCTTCGTAACGAGGTTGTTGATGGTGTCGATCAGCGCGCTGGGACGGGTAGTGCTGTTGACCGTCGGCGGGTCGCCCGTCCTCGTCTTCCTCTCGCGGCGATCGATCGACTTCTCGGCCTCGATGTACATGGTCTTGTCCACCTGTCGTTTCACACCGGGCTTGTGCTCCCTTCCGGCCTTCCGGCATCCCAGATGGCGCGCCAGTCCTCTGGCTGCAGCTTGATCGCGGGGTGGCCCGCGGCGCTCGTGGTGAGCTTCTCGTTGGCGTTTCCGATGCGGATCTGGCCCTTCCAGAGCGAGATGTCGATCTTGGAAGGCTGGATGAAGTCCCGGCCTATGAGCAGGCCGAGCGTGGGGCTGTCCACGACGCTGAACACGACGCGGCCGGCCTGGCCGCACAGCACAAGCGGCGCGGTGACGCGCAGCTTGCTGGGTAGGGTGCCTCCATTGCCGAACCTGTAGACCTCGTCCTCTGGCTCCTCGAGAATCTGGTCGGCGAGGCCCATCCTCGTGAGGGTGCCCTTGTAGTTGTCGTACCACTTCTTGCCCGAGACGCAGAAAAGGCAGGCGGTGTCGACCACGCCGATGCCTTCGTCCTGGGGCTTATCGCTGCCGATCGCGACGTTCACGTTCGGCAGGTGGTGAATGAGCCGCTCCGAGACACAGGCCTCCGGGGGCGGCGTCACGGGGCCCTGCGGGTGCAGGGCGATCTCCTCGTCCGCGAACTGGACCACATGGTCGTCGCGCTCGGTGATGTGCGCCTGGCGCTGCGGACGACCTCCACGGCCTCCGCGCCCACCGCCCTTGGACTTACCGTCCTTGGGCGCGAACTTGCGCGCGCCCGGCGTGGGGCATTGGCTGTCCCCCGTCCAGTGCCCGGCCTCGCCGCAATCCCAGCACGTCGAGTTCTTCTTGCGCTGGTCGACCCGGCTCTGCAGCTTGGTCGGTCGGCGGGTCGGCGGGGACTTGTTCGACTCGCCGCGGCCCTTCAGGGCCTCCCGAGCCGACCTAATGGTGGCCATGGCCTCGGGAATGGCGGCAAGCTCCGCCGCGGCAGCTTCGACCTTGGCGGAATCGTCGCCGTCGAACAGCTCGGATGTCCACGTTGGATGACTCGAGCTCGGCGCTGAAGGCTTCGAGCTCCTGACGGACGATGTCCTGTACATCGGCCTCGTCCTCGTCATCCTCCTCTTGATCTTCGTCGTTCTCGTCGTCTGGCTCGTCGACGACGTTGGTGGAGCGCCCTCCACGGCTGGAAGATGCGTTGCGCCAGCCGCCTTGTGGGCGCGACTGGTTGTTCCACGGTCTCGGCGACAGGGCGCGGCGCTCCGACGCGTGGATGTCCGGGGGCGTCCTGGCCAGCAGTCCGCGGATGCGCTGGTAGCCGTAGTGCTCGTCGGGCAGGTTGCCCACAACGCGCTCACGGCGTTCCGCTGTGAGCCCGGCCTTCCGCGGCAAGAACCATCCTGCAACATCGTCCAGCGCGTTGAGGTCCACCTCGTTCTCGCGTAGCTGCTGTAGTCCGGTCTCGAAACGGATGGGCCAATCCGTCATGCGTTCACCTCTGCGTCGGTGATGCTGCGTCGACTCGAAAAACTTCTCAAGCGTCTCGCCCTTCTGCACTGGCTTCTGCTGACCTAAGCTGGCCTCTAAGTGCTGCAAGACGTTCTCGATGCCGACCTGATTCCTGTTGCGCTTCTTATCGTCGGCGTCCTCGATGTCCGCTGCGGCTGCCGGGTGCAGCTGTGCCTCCGTCATGTTGAGCGCTGCGCTCCGTGCCGTCCCGCTGAGCTTTAGCACGAGCTTCGACGCGAGACTGTGGGCCACGGCGAGGTTCTCGCTGCGCTTCCAAAGTTTGACCTCCTGCTTGTAATCTCTCCATTTTGCTGGGTCGCCATTCCAAGTAGGCATGCAGTTGGCATAGTTGAAGTTATCCCCCATCTTGTCGAAGAAGAAGTAGGCCGCGTCGCTGACACTGGCGTAGAGGGAGTAGCTGGCGTCGCTGACACCGTCGTAGGAGAAGTAGGCCGCGTGTCTGACACAGGCGTAGGAGAAGTAGCTGGCGTCGCTGACACCGTTGTAAGAGTTGAAGTAGTGCGCGTCGCTGACGCTGCTGATGAGGGACTTGGCGTAGTCCTGCGAGGGGCAGATGAAGAAGTAGCTGTCGTCGCTGCTGAGGGTCGGAAAAGGAGATGGAGTAGCTGGCGTCGCTGACGCTGGCGTTCTTGAATAAGTAGGAGTCGAAGGCGTAGTCGCTGGCGTCGCTGACGCTGGCGCTGGAGTTGGCAGGGATGTAGGCGTAGTAGGCGTTGGTGCTGGCGTCGCTGAAGCTGGCGTAGGCGCTGAGCAACAGCGCGAGGAAACCGCTGGGCCTCGATTCCAATATGGAGTGCGACGTCGCGGGCGTCGTCTTGGATATGTACGGCCCCGTGGGCCGGGATAGCGCTTCTCGCTCCAAGCTACCACTGCGATATGGAAGATTATTTATGATAAAGTTTTTCTCTCGCTCTGCGCGGCAGAGGACGTAGCTCAATCGGCCAAGGGCCCTAAAATAATTAGAGCCAAAACGGGCGGCGGCAGAGAGACCCTGGACAGCTGAGCAGCAGCAGCAGCAGCAGCAGCAGCAGAGGGCGAGTGAGAAGAGCAGCGAGTCTTCTGGAATCACAACGGGGATGCGAAACACGGCGGCCAATCTGTTATGGCTCTTCCTTCTGTCGCCTGCTTTGGACTGAGACATGACGCGCAGATCCAAAACTAACTGCACCACCAATGCAAAACGCATCCCCCAGCGACCAGCCTAACTGTTTTCCGCGCGGGTGCGCGGAGCCCGTGCGCGCAAAACGTATTCCATCGGCCCTGCGTGCCTGCGCATGCTCGCTGTGCTTCGTGCCGTCCCGGCACCGACGAGGAGGAGGAGGAGGCGGAGGAGGATGAGGAGGAGGAGGCGGAGGAGGAGAAGGAGGAGGCTTATCGTGCGTCCGTAGGTCCGGGTTGACTGTAGCATGTTCTTCTGCGTCCCAGCTGGGGACATGCCTGTTCGTGTACTGGATTACATGGATTTACAGATTCCCCAAAAATTTGCTTGCACCTAGGGGCTCTTGTTTCATTTTTGAAACAACAGGGCCTGCCCATCGGTATGGCGGCTATGTGGTCGCCGTCGTCGCCTCGTCGCGGCCTCGTCGCCGCCCGACGTCTGGGCCTGCCCGTCGGTCTGGCGGCTATGGGGTCGCCATCGCCACTCCGTCGCTCTGGGCCTGCCCGTCGGTTTAGCGGCCATGTGGTCGCCGTCAGCGCCCCGTCTCCGTCTCGGCCTGAGTTACTTTGTATTGCTTGGCGTTGCTTTGCGCTGCTTTGCATTGATTTGCACTGCTTTGCATTGCTTTGCCTTTCCTTGCGTTGCTTTGCGTCGCATTGCTTGGCGTTGCTCGGCATTTCTTTGCACTGCGCCTCAATTATTTGCATTGCTTTGCTTTGTTTGCGTTGCTTTGCATAAGCCGCATAGCTTGCACCGCACATCATGCGTCAGATCGTGTGCCAAAAACAACCGTTCGAGGTCCACGCTGGCAAACATATACATATAACATATACGTATACATACATCCCAGGCTGCACCTTCCCCCGTCGTACCAGATGGTGCCAATCTCCCGCTGGCAGACTGTAATCCAGCATTGACCTCGGAGGCGACAACACGTTTACAACACGAGCGCAAACGCATGCGTAACCCCGGCTCACACGATGTATCGGAATCTTCTCTCAACCGCTCGGAGAAGCCAAGGGCTCATGTAGACAGATCCCCACATTCAGGCCCCAACTGTTCAGAGAATATGGAGTGCTAGCAACCATCGCCAAGGCGACACGGTACAATGATACGGGGTGCCCAACAAATGCTCGCCCCGACGGCAAGGTCCTGCCTTGACGACGTTTGTGGGCACTGCTTTCTGACACCGCGTGAGCAGTTCAATGTTGGACGAAAATAATCAAAACATATTCAAAAATGATCAACAAAAACTCCAACAATCATCCACAAACTATTTTTTGATTATCCGTGAATATTCCTCCTGTAGAGGGGCATGCCCGACTTAACCCTAGTACCCAAAACG